TATTTAAGTGATGTAATGGAATAACCCGGCACCTCCATGAATGATTACACTATAGGTAGTAAGTATGTATAAAGTCCACTGTCTACGAGAGACTCGAGGACAGAGAGTGAAGAGTGATAGAGACAACGCAAGCACGTCTGACCTTCCAATTAGTGGCACTCACTACTAGATTGACCTGTGTTTATAACTGTACCGCATTTCATATTGTACTTGTTGTCTACAATAAACCTTTCTTCTAATATCCACCTGGTGTTACTTATTTATTTCCTTAGCACGGAATATAACAGTTCCGACGAGGATTGATGAATGTGATGTGACGGCATATTTATCTATCTCTGTCTTTCTCTCTCTTACTATATATATATATATATATAGATATATATATATGACATAATACAAATTTAAAGCTGATTGATGTTCTCATAGATATGACAATGGCATCAGATAAAAATATATGTTAAAACTATGACAAAAGTAAATATAAAAATCTTGAAATTGAAAAAAATGTGGTACCTGAAAACTATCGGAGGGTACAATCAAAAGGGTGCAGACAAGAAAATTAACAAAATCTTTGGCAGTACCTGTTTAAATGTGATTAAAAAAAATTGCATTGTGTAGAACTGCTCATCTAGCCACAAGAGTATTATCAACGTAATGAAAATATAAGCACTGTATATGTAGTATTTATCAGAATTTGAGTAAACAGGATGTATGTATTTATTAGCAAACCTCAGGTCTCAAAAATTGACCAACTAAGGAATTATACTGATGAAGAAGAAGAAGAAAAAGAAATAATATTTTCAGTTAAATACATTTTCTTTAAAATCGACTGATAGAAAAATTGATTGGAATTAAGTTAGAAAGGTTTTGTCTTGTCTGAGTTAAGTTACTTATGTCTAAAAAATCTAGGAACTGTGAAATTCCTCAACTTGCAAGTTATTTCATTTCACTCGATCTAAGCAACTATAGAAATTGATGTAATGGAACAACCAGGCACCTGCATGAATGATTACACTATAGGTAGTAAGTACCTATAAAGTCAACTGTCTACGGAAGATAGGGGAGAAGATGCAAGCACGTCCGACCTTCCAATTAGTGGCACCCACTACTAGATTGACCTGTGTTTATAACTGTACCGTATTTCATATTGTACTTGTTTTGTACAATAAACCTTTCTTCTAGTATCCACCTGGTGTTATGTGTTTATTCCCTTAGCATGGAATATAACAGTGGCGACGAGGATTGTCGGACATAACAGAAATGATGATGTGACAGCATATTTATCTATCTCTGTCTCTGTCTCTCTCTCACTATATATATATATATATATATATATATATATATATGATGTAATACAAATTTAAAGCTGATCGATGTTGTCTTCAGCATCCCGACTCTAGAGTTTCATAGATGGGTTCTTTGGGAATTACTCCAACTACTCATCAGCAGGTATAAGCATTTGACTACTTATACTTCTCAATTTATCTTTTTTATATGCACTTATATAGGACAGAGTGTGAAGAGTGAGAGAGAGACGACGCAAGTGCGTCCAACCTGCCAATTAGTGGCCCTCACTACTAGATTGACCTGTGTTTATAACTGTACCGTATTTCATATTGTACTTGTTGTGTACAATAAACCTTTCTTCTAATATCCACCTGGTGTTAAGTATTTATTCCCTTAGCACGGAATATAACAGTTCCGATGAGGATTGTCGGAACATAACATTAAGTTTTGCTCTTTTAGGCAAATTTTTTTCGTGGGCGCAGTGGAGTAATGGATAGCGACTCGGATTGAGGAATCGGAGAGCCGAGTTCGAATTCTAGTCGAATTCATTACATTCGCTTATTATTAATATCATTGGGAAAAGTATGAATCCTCTTCTTCTCACCTCCCCAGCTATGGGTAAATAGCAGGACAGACAGGCTTCTTTAGACTTGGATGGTAACTGGTCTACAGCAGAAAGAAATGGCAGCCTACTGCGCGAAAAAAAATCTGCCTCGGCAGTCATGTATCGAAAGATACATGTTCGCCTAAGCGTGTATCACGCATGGCACATAAAAAAATCTAAGCTGATGACATGGTTATTTACTTATGTTTTAATATTAAGCCTGATCGGATCCTTATGGTCAAATTAGCAGCTCATCTAAAAAATGACCTACAATCTGTTGTTAACTGGGGCAAGGAATGGCTTGTTAATTTTATCGCCACCGAAACTGCTCTCTTTGAATCGTCCATCAGCATGGCTAATGATAACCTCAATGAAAAGTGACTCATTGTGCCTTCTTGGGCTCTTGTTTTCTGCTGAGATGAAGTGGGAAGATTATATTGAATCAATTTCAAAATCTACTGCTAGGAAAGTTGGATCCATGTGTCTTGCTAGACAGTTTTTCTCGCATTTTGTCTTACATATTTATAAGTCTACCATTCGTTCATGTATTGAAAACAGCTGCTACATTTAGTCTGGTGTTTCTGCTAAGTATTTAAAAAGATTGCTGATAAAATCCAAAGAGGAATCTGCAATTTTATTGCTCTTGATCTGGCATCTCGGCTTCAGTCACGTTTCAGGAATGTAGCTTTGCTGTGCCTTTTCTATAAATATTTTCTTGGTAATTGTTCTAATGAACTTTCCTATATTGTACTTAGTATAAGTTTGGCAACAAGGTTTCATCATTTTAGAGTGAAATTGGCTATATGTAACCGTTAGTTCTATGCTAACCGTTCCCTTTTTCGCACATCACGCTTGGGTAAATCTCTTCCAGCTTCTTGCTTTCCAGTCAACCTTGACCTTCAAAAATTTAAATGCAATCTCAGTCGTCATCCTCTGTCTTCTTAATTCATGTATTTTTATTGTTATTAATATTTTTTCACATGTTCTATTACATTCAGTAATCTCTTGCGTTTTAGTGGTTTTATTCCTTTGCTTGGGCTGAAATCATTAAAAATGGATTTTAGCAAAATTATATTTTTAAGTCACTTGAATTTAACAAATAAATTCACTCCTACTGCAGAACATCTATAGAGTATAAAGCGAATAAAAGAAATAATCTTCAAACACAGTTTTACAAATTTAAATAAATTTTTGTTACGAATATTTGTTTTCTCTCAAGTTGAAAGAAACGAATTACAAAGATCCTTGTAAACAAAGTCCCACAAAAATATTTTGTTTTTTACATCACAACAAAAATAATTGCATTAGTATGATTGAAAAGCTGAATGCGCCTACTTAACGAGAGAGTTACGCATTCACGTTGTTTTATGTACGCGTATAGTTTTCCAGCAGTCACCCATGAAAGAATGAACTATGTTGTTACTACTGCTAATATCCGTTTGTTTACATATCTCCATTCTTATGTTTTCGTGTTGTATAATTAACATTAAAATCTCGAAGCTGTTTGCCACAAGTTACTCAATAAATATGCAAAAGGTTGAGTAATTAATTATAAGAAAGGTGTGAGTAGTCAGCAGTAACTCTGATCAAAGGTTTAACGAAAAACTGAATTTTTGAATTTATGCAACGAATATTTATGAGAAAATAGAGGGATAAAAGAAAATGAGAAAATAGATGGAGTAAAGGAGTAATGGATAGCGGCTCGCATTGAGGAATCGGAGAGCCGAGTTCGAATTCCAGTCAACATTACATTCACTTACTTCATATCCTTGAGAAAGATATGAATTCTCTTATTCTCCCTTCCCCGCTACGGGTAAATAGCAGGACAAACCAGGTTCTGTAATCTTGGATGGCAACTTGACTACCGCAGAAAGAAAGGGCAACCTACTGCAGGAAAAAATCTGCCTCGTCAGACATGTATCGAAAGATGCGTGATCGTCTACGCGTGTATAACGCATAGAACATAACTGACTGAGACGGATCAAGGAAGCTAAAGTTAAATTTACTCAACTCAGATGTTTATTAGTTAATAAATATTTCTCCAATTTTTAATATCTATTTTTAGGAGGGAACATATGTGAATATAATGTGAATCATTTTCTGGAGTGATCTTTCAAATTTCATAGTAGACAACAAACATATGGTTGTCTGATTTTTCAAAGCTGTTAGGTCGTTTGAGATAACGTCTCTGATTGGTTAATAAATGCGAATGTGGAAATTCAAATTTGGAGTTTGTTTTTCGCACAAAAATGAGTCGATTTCTGCGCCAGCCGTTATTTGCACAGACTTGAGATTTTTAGTTTTATTACTTAAATCTATTGGATTTTTCTACAACAATTAATGGGGTTCCACACATCTCTCCCCAACATTTGCCGGTAAATTCTGCTATTTTCTTTCACTCCTTCTTCAATGAAAGCCAAGGGCAATTTCGAACTATCAGAAATAACAGCAATCGAAAACATGGTACCAGTTTTGTTTTGTTTATTTTTTTTTCTGTCGCTTGAAATCTGTTCTCACACTTTCATGGAGGCGTACATATTTGCTGTCGCCTTATCCATATCTACCAAGACAAAGCATGAGCGTGTTAACACTTCGATTTCGATAGTTCAATTAAGACCGGGTGCCATGAGAGCCAAGCTTGGTTTAGCATAAGAGCATTTATTATGGCTTGATATCTTCTCAAACGCCGAATTCTGTTTAATTAATTCCTCTTAGTAACTAATGGAAAAAAAGATCAGCACAGTCTCCATCCTATTACGTACGTTTTAGTTGCATGCCGGCTACGCTGTCTGTGTTTCATTCATTTTGATGCGTTGATTTCCAATACATTGAGTTGATTTTAAGGCTTTCAACCCTTTGCAGGTTATGTAAAGCCAGAAAATATTTTTAGATCGTAAGACGGTTTTTTTTAGATAATAATGACTTCCTGATACAAAGCATACTAATTAACCTATAGCTAGGGAGAGAGGAGTAGGATTCATACCACTCCCAATGTTATTTGAGCGTAAGTGAATGTACCGAACCCGACTGAAATTGGAACTCGGCTCTCCGATTTCCAATTTCAGGTCGTTATCGATTACACCACCAGCACACCTAAGCTTATCGCAATTGATATTCCCAAGCGGTTACCCATCTAGGTACTGCCCAGGCTCGACGTTGCTTAACTTCGGTGATTGTACGGGAACTTGACTCTGTCATTAACAATTCCGAGCCATTATCCATTACACCACCTGCCCATCCAAGCTTACAGCACCTGGTATTCCCAAGCGGTTACCCATCTAGGTACTGACGTTGCTTAACTTCGGTGGTCATACGAGAACTGGTGTTTCAATGTGATTTGACTGTAAGCCGATAGCAAGGAAGGATTGTATAAAAACTTATAATCATTTGCAGATCAAAAAAAAATTATATGGGATTTTTAAACGTAACTTGAAAAAGACAGACGTACTGTAGAAAAAATGTTGAACCTTGTCAAATACCGTGGCTTTTTTTAATTTTTATTTTCTTAAATCAGGCTCTTCTCTAAGAGATCCTGATTTTGATATTACTATTATTCTTTTATTTCCTTTGATTTCTGGTGTGTACTCATTTCTTTCTTTACGGGTCCCACCCAGAGATCTAAGGTCAGAAATGGCATCATGACATTTTCCACTGAGCAGTTTTGAAAAAAGAATCAGACATATTTTACAATTAAAATTATTGATCCCCACATGTGCTACATTTTTGAGATTTCGATTGCAAGGTTCCTGTATTTTGATAATTTTTTTTTTTTTTTTTGGAGATCTTGTTTTTATTGGGTGTGAATATTGAGCATCCTTAGATAAAGTGATCAATAGTTTCAATGTATTGATCAGAAAACCTACATTTTTGGTCCCTACTATTATGCAAGATATTAGCTTGGTAGATAAGTGTAAGTAGGTTCTGGTCCTGTGTAGTAAGAATAAACCCTTCAATCTCACCCTAATGTCTTGAATTCCTTAGCTACTGGTGGGTTGTAAATTGATCTACATATTTTGTCTGGGAGAAAGAATTGTCTATTTTTTTGGTTTCAGCTTTCTTCTATTTACTTTGGTCTTGCTTTTTTATTTATTATTACGGTCGAAATATTCTTGAACATTGTCAAACACTGTCTTGTCTTTTTCTGTTCTTGAATCACGCTCTTCTCTTAGTGTTGACAAACTTTGGAAGAGCCATTTTGTTTATTATTATTATTATTATTATTGTTGTTGTTGTTTTATTTCCTTTCGTTTCTAGTGTATACTCATTACTTTCCGGGTCACAAACAGAGACCTAAGGTCAGAAATGGCATCATGACATTTTCCACTGAGCAGTTTTGAAAAGAAAATCGCACATATTTTACATGGATAAAGCACTTCGTAAGGTGTGGGCTGTACTTGTGAGTACAATCTTTTGTATTTCTTTAAGGCATGAGTTACCAGGGATTCCTTCAATGAGTCTGTTGAAATCTTTTCCAATCAATCCGAGGGCTCCAACTACAAATGCAATTGTTAATGTCCTCATGCGCCACACTTTTGAGATTTCGATTTCAAGGTCCGTGTAGTTTGATAGTTTTTTGAAGACCTTTAAAGATACATTTGCAGTCTGCAAGGACTGTTATGTCAATAAGGAGGCATGTTTTGTCTTTGCGGTGTCTAATCATGATGGCTGGATGATTACCATTGATTTTCTTTTTGTCTGTGTGTATTGTAAAGTCCCATAAAATTGTAACAGGTTCTATCTCCGTAACCGGGTCTGGGTGGTGTTCATACCAATTTCTTGCAGTTTCCTTTCCGTAAGTTTCCAGTGCAGATATTGGCTCACTATGTGGTGCCGTGTTTTTTATTCAGTTGGTACCAATACCGCGAAACCTATACAAGATGGTCAATTGTTTCTGGATATTTATCACAGAACCTGAATTTTGGACTAAAACAATTTTTCAGTATGTATGCTTTGTAATTTTTCGTTAGCATTGGCCCTGTGCAGCAAGGATTAAACCTTCAGTTTCAGCTTTTAACCCTGCATTATTATTATTGTTGTTGTTGTTGTTGTTGTTAGGCTCCCTAAGATCACACATTTTACACAGACAAAGCCCTTCGTAAGCTGTGTACTGTGCTTATGAGTACATATTTTTTGTATTTCTTTAACCCTTTGAACCCTGCGTTCTTGAACAATTTTAATCCTTCTGCCTGAGCTCCTGAGTCAAAATTCGCAAATAATTAGTATGCAATGTTTCACAGTCGATATGAAATATTTACATGTGTTTACCCATCGTTCAACCGGTGGCTGGCATTAAGTCATTTTTCTATACCACTGTTCAAACGGTCGCTAGACATTACGCCATTTTTTCTTTACCACCGGTAAAGAGCGGTAATCAGAGCTAAAAGGGTTAAGGCATGGGCTACTAAGGACCCTTTCAATGAGTCTATCGGAACATTTTCCAGTCAAACCGAAGGCTCTAAGTACAATTAGAATTATTGATGTCCTCATGTGCCACATTTTTTTAGTTTTCCACTTCAAGGTTCTTGTATTTTTATAGACTTCTGGAGTTCTTCAAAGATACATTCCAATTTGCATTGACTGCCATGTCAATAAGAAAACACATTCAGGTTTTTTAGTCTTTGATTGCGATGTCTGAGCGATTAGATTTGATTGTTCTGTCTGTGTGTATTGTAAAGTCCCATAAAATTGTTACAGGTCTTATCTCCGTAACAGGGGTGATGTTCATACCAGTTTCTTGCAGTTTCCTTCCCGTAAAAGTTTCAGATTTTCCAGCGAAGGAATTGGCTCACTCTTATATTACTCTCAGTTTTATATCCAGTGGGTTCTAATATATTGGAACCTGATACAAGATGGTTAATTGTTTCTAGATATCTATCACATATTCTGCATTTCGGGTTAACACAATTTTTCAGAATGTGTACTTCGTAATTTCTAGCAAGCATTGGTCCTGTGCATTATTATTTATTATTATTATTATTATTATTATTATTATTATTATTATTATTATTATGATTTCTTTCGATTTCTGGTATATACACATTTCCTTCTGGGTCCCAACCACAAACCTAAGTTCAGAAATGGCCTTATGACATTTTCCACTAAGCTTTGGCTGGTTCCCAGACTTCATGAATTTAAGCGTTCTACTAGGCTGGCATCTTGCTCTCACCCTTTCACTGTCGAAACTGTTAAATGTATCCGTCTCTTCTACTCCAATAGCTTCATGTCTCGCACCTCTCGCCCGTGGAATTCCCTCCCCGCTTTCCTGTTTCCCTGATAGCTATAATCTCCAACTATTCAAATATAATATCAATCGACGTCTCCAGATGCCTTGATCTATCCCCTATCCTTCTCTTCATCCTTTCCTCTATCACTCCTATTTGCTCTCGCTTCAACTCTTTGTAACCCCTTGCGTGCTAGTTGCTTCCCGCCTTGCTTGGGGTGAAATGCTAAAAAAATCATTTTTGTATGTATGTCTGTGTGTGTGAGAGTGTAACCCCAAAACGGACACAGAGGTGGATTTCCCCCCCCCCCACCAAACATAATCAAACACAAGCATAAATAGATTAAATTTAAAAAAAATAAACTAGTTTTTCTGATGATCGCAAAAGCATGAGACCCAGAGTCACAAACTCATATCCATCCATCTGAATATATATATATATATATATATATATATATATATATATATATATAGTTTTAAGTGTGATATATTTATGGGATAAAGTGCTCAATATCAGAGATAGGGCGTATGTAAATATAAATATAAAAGTGAACACTGCAACACTCAGAGGCGACAGGCTGTTTCATGCCAGGCGGCCTGACGATTGCGTCTAGCATGAAACAGCCTGTCGCCTCTGTGTGTTGACTTCAATGTTCACTTTTATATTTATATTTACATACGCTCTACCTCTGATATTGATCACCTTATCCCATAAATATAACACACCTTAAAAAGAAATTCCAAAATTATAAAACATAAAACAATGGTATTTTTTTTAAACATTTTATGAGATATTCACTAAAACACTGCTTCACTGTGGACCTGTTTATAGATTTTATAATTATCTGTAAATATTAATTATCAATTAACCTAATTTTCATCTCTTACTGTTAACGTAGGAATGACAGAGTAGATTTCAAACAGGTTAAGTATTTTTAACTGCTTATTTCTATTATTTTCTTATTAAGAAAATACTAGTAAATGAATCTGTAATTAGTATTTAATAAAACAGATGTTACATTCCTTTAGAGGCATTTTAGTTTTCCAATTAATTTTTAAGTCATTGAAAATTACTTCGAACACAATGACCAGATTAAACTGGAAATTACTTTACTCTCTAAGCAATTTCAGAGTATTGCGCTATCAAAAATTGTGCTATGATGTGCTTTTTACTGTTTTATGGTAATAAACACACGAGCAAAGTTGCAGAAATTGAACCTTTATAGTTATTAAGATAATATACTATTTTTCTTATTTATCAAATATATATATATGTGTGTGTGCGTGTGTGTGATAATTTTTATATAAGAGAAAAAATTATATATATATATATATATATATATATATATATATATATATATATATATATATATATATAAGAAAGGAAAAAGCTTGATATCTAAGAGTATTCATCTTCTAGTTTTCTTTCTAGTAATCGAGATGAATTGGTGCCTAATATTACAAAGAGTAATGGGCCCCGAAATCGATTCCTACTCCAGGAATTAGACATTCACGTTAGCAATAAATATCTATTCCGAATTTTATTTCAAGATGACGTGTACATAATGCGTGTGTGTCCGTGTCCTTTGCTAACACTGAGAAATTAATATCTTTCTACGATTGAATAGTCTAGAATGCAACATGGAAGAAGTAGGTTTGGAGAGATCTACAAAAGGATGCAATATATATTAATAAGATACCGAGAAGGTATGCGCGCTGAAAACTTAATCCAAACCTTTCATGTTGTCCAAGAAGCTAAGAAGTGGTTGACCTAGATTTCAACAAGTCAAAGTCGGAAGAGTAGGTCTTGAGGTAATCGAACTCTATTCAAGGCAAGCCACCTGCTACCAACCTGCATGAGAAGATCTTCAATTCCGGTAATGTAACAATCTCCAAAGCTCTGCAACCCTCAAAGATATTCCAATATTTGTTTCTTGGAAAAGAAACAAACACACCTGCATATTTGAATCTCACCACAAAAAAGATGTTTGTTTGAATTAAGCATATTCAATATTTTAACTGTTTAAGAGAAGCTTTCTCTGAAAGCTTATCAGTAAATGAAATTTTTTTTTATCTTCAGCGAATTAAATGCATCTGCAGATAAAATTCAAGATTAAAACCTATTGTTCTAAATACACACACAGATATATACAGAATGTCCATAAAGTCTCTTTACAATTTAAAAAAAATATATTATAAAGGCAGTTGGTGAGATATTTTAATCAGACTTATTCTATGTACTCAGTAGGTAAAGTTTTTAATCTTATTGCATTTGTGTATTTCAGGTATTATTTCAATGAAAGACGTACTGTTAAATGAACCCCTATATTAAGTATAACTAAACATTTACCAACTGATATACAGTAATGCCTGAAATCACATTAGTTATTTTAGCTATACTTAAAACTAGGTACATTAAACTTTATAACATTTTCTACAGATTATTTCTATCGCAAATACAAATAAAGTTATACTTTTTAAAAGTGCACACGAAATTTATGGACACTTGTATATATATATATATATATATATATATATATATATATATATATATATATATATATATATATATATATATATATATACATTTATAAATTTACTAATTTAAAAAATATGGTTCCATCGCCACAGAGGAATTGCCATGTTTGTGTATTTCAGGTATTATTTTAATGAAAGACGTACTGTTAAATGAACCCCTAACATTTTCAGACTGGATTGGAAAGGATTCCCCCAATTCTCTGGTCACCTCGTCCACCAGATATCACTCCTCTGGACTTCTTTCTATAGGGTTATGTTAAAGATATCGTGTACCAAACAAAGATACTGGATATCACCGATATAAAGCAAAAGATCACTGTTGCAATTGCTACCATTGATGAGAGGTAATACTACAGTGAATATGGCAAGAAATCAAATATAGTCTTGATGTCCTTCGTGCAACTAATGGCGCCCAAACAGAGGTGCATTAAATTCGTTAAAAAGAACTTCAATATTTACTCTTCGTTTTATAAGAATTTCCAAATATTTGTCAGTTTATTTGCTTTTGTAATATTATTTTAAATTGTAAAGAGACTTTATGGAGACCATATATATATATATATATATATATATATATTATAAATTTAAGAATTTAAAAATATGGTTCCATCACAACACAGGAATTACCATGTTTCAATAACAGAAGCTAAAAACTATAAATCCAATTATAGAATTAAAATAAAATCCCTAGCTCTTTTTCATTTCCAAGCGAATTTTGGAACCAAAATTCGCTTGAAAATGAAACAGAACAAGGGACTTTAATTTAATTTAATTCTATAATTGAATTTGAAGTTTTTAGCTTCTGTTTCTGAAACATGGTAATTCCTGTGTAACGATGGAACCATATTTTTAAATTAGTAAATTTATAATATCTATGCTCTGTAGATTTGCATTGAGCACTGTTTTGTAAAAATAAATATAATTAATAAGAACACCAGATTATATATCTTACTATTCTTTCTTTTTATTATGATATATAAATATATATAATTAATAAACAATAAAATCCAAAATCACCTCGTATGGGTGATTTAATAGTTGGCTTTGATTATTGTATTTTATTAGTCTATTTTTTCTTCTAAACATAAGTCATACTTATCTCTAAGACTATTAGGTGATTTGGGATTTTACTGTTTATTATTTGCTCTATAATAATAAATACATTGAGCACTTCTTGTGGATCAGTTTTAATATCTTATGTTACTAGGATCCACTTGGATTATATAGCAACTGATTTGCTACCTTTACTATACATACATACATACATACATACATACATATATATATATATATATATTTGATGTGTCAAAAATATATTTTTAATGTATGTTATGTTTATAGGTAAAAGTGCTCAATATCAGAGATAAAGCGTACTTAAACGAGAATATAAAATATACATCTTCCGACCACCCACGATCAATAATCATTACGCTACACTTGAATGATTCATCATCTATTGCAAATTATATATATATATATATATATATATATATATATATATATATATATATTGTGTGTGTATTTATACAGCAAATGTTCTTTAAGGCAAATATTATTAAAGACAACAGACATTTTGTTTTGAAGAATTATACTGATCAACTTCTCAGACAAGGTGTAAATTCCATCAGAATAATAAACACAAAACACTTTACAGAGGATATACCACCACCACACTTTCACGCAGACTCACCTGTCACCTATCGAACCAGAGTGTTAACAGACAACATATTATTAAGTAGCATAAGGATGCTAGTAATATCAGAAAGCTACACAGAAAACAACACCAAAATTCTAGCAAAATCAAACAGTAAAAAAAACTTAGGATCATTTATGCTCATAAAACAAAAACAACCATCTATAAATAATAAAAATAATAATTTAAGAACCCACATCCTCAAATTGATATAAAAAATAAAGAAATAAAATTAACGCACACATAGATCACACCACGCCTACGTCACAACACTCTTTGCTCACGTCACTCTACTCACGAGATCTGCAAACTCGCCATTTATCTCGATCTATCCTGATGATGACACATAAGAAAGTGGAAAGCTTGGAACATATTTCTTAATGAATATTGGACAATCTCTGAAGGAATTTCCTCTTTATCTGAGAAGGATTATTTGTAATTTTGAAAAGCCGATCAATAAAATTCATCGATACAAAACATTTGTTGTCTATAATAACATTTACCATATATATATATGAGCTCTCTTTAGAAAAGGGTAATTAACGCATTGCTCTTCAACTGAATTTAGCTCTACGGGTCACTGGCGTATTTTGTATAGAAAACGTTAAAATTTCCCTTTTTCTCTGCCGTGCGACGATAGCCTAGGGGTAAGATCTCTGATTGATGCAAAATCCGTCGGATTTCGATGCCGGCTTGAAGCAGTCGGACGTTTAACCACACTGAAGAGCTGTGATCCACCGAAACAGTCAACAATATATATGCTCCCTGGAAATCAACCTTGAGAAAAGGGTAATTTTAAAAACAGTGGCTCCTACTTCAACTAAATTGAAATTTCTGGCGTATAGAAAACGTTAAAATTTCCCTTTCTCTGCGAATATAGCCTAGGGTTACGATCGGTCGCGTTTCGATCCCGGCTTGAAACAGTCGGACGTCTAGTCACACTGAAGAGCAGTGATACAGTGAAACAGTCTGTCTGTGGATGACAATATATATATATATATATATATATATATATATATATATATATATATATATATATATGATAGAATAAAGAACAAATAGGAATGGTTTATCAATCTAACATGTTTACATTTATTAAAGCTTCATTAGAGAATAAAGTGAAACATATTAGATTAATAAACGTTTTCTATTTGTGCTTTATCTTATCATTCTATCAGATTTGATCCATATTTGATCCCAATCCCCATATATATATATATATATATATATATATATATATATATATATATATATATATATATACTTGTTTATTAATGATGTAAAAAATACGCCACATATGAAATATATATTTTTCTTATATCTTTGCTATTATTAGATTAATTTCATATGTAAACTTTTAAATGTATGCTTTCTATTATTCTATTAATATTTGTATCTCTGGTGGGGTCACTTTATTTTTTTTATAAAAATAGAAAATTTTATCTCCTGTAGAATCTAACATTAACAAAAAAAATGATTGCAATTTATTCAAGTCCTTGCTATTATAAGAAGGTTTTTATATTTGAGTTTTACATTTACCTCTTTATAATTATTATATTTAGTAATTCTGGCATGATTAGGTCATTCCTTAATCCTTCGTTTTATATCCAGTAGAATCCTATATTAATACTAGTATACACATGCAATAAAAATGGATTACATATTTTGTAAAGCCCTTACCATTATAAGAAGGTCTTATACTTTTACTTAAAATTATTAGATTTTCATGTATTATTCTTTAAATATTTAAACATACTAGCTTAGCCATTATTTAAACATACAAGCTTAGCCATTTTGTCAAGTTCTTACTATTATAAGAAGGCTTTCATATTTGGGTCTTTAAATTTATCTCCCAATTACTACTGTGGAGGCACCATTTATTTATACCTGCGAGAATAGCTATCATATCGCAATCCAGATCTTTTTTCTTTATTTCTAATGAATTTTTTTTCTGTTTTCTGTTTCTCATCACTTAGCTTTTGGTATACACCTTTTGCTAATCAGATGTGTGTTCGAATTTTGGTGTCGCATTTTCTATCCTCTGTTAAAACTGTTCCCAGGTATTTAAACATCTGTACTTGATTGCTCTTGACATCTCCAATTATTAATTTGCATCTTGAGGTTTTCCTGTAACATGCTTTCATGCAGATGATATGAAACAATTTTAATGCAATGTCAATCGTCATCTTCTGTCTCTTTTTATTTCCCTCCTCCATTTACTCTCAGTAACCCCTTTGCATCATGGAAACTTTTTGCTTTGTTTGGAGTGAAAAGACAAAAAAAGGCTACATGAGAGTACTTATTCATTATTTTACTAAATTAAATTAAATCTAATAACATTCACTGTTAGATTGGATATTTTCACTCTTTTATTTCTTTTTGAATTCTGCATTCATTTTGCAAATCGGCAAATGGTTTAAATTAATTCTCTCTGCCGAGGTAAATACACTTGAAAAAATGATAGCAGAAGGGAGGATGGGGGTGATAATAAAAACACAATAACTTTAAGGATACAAAGGATAGGAAATTGTGAAGAGCCATGATTGAAGTGACACGGCAAATAGAAAAAAGAAGGATGAGAAGAAGAAGAAGAAGAAGAAGAAGAAGAAGAAGAAGAAGAAGAAGAAGAAGAAGAAATGAAATTTAGAGACAGGTATAGCGGCAATTAATAAGGCAGGTAATGATGATGAAAAAAACTATAAACGAGAGAAGATGACAGAATTGATAGCGGAAGAAATAGACGAAAAAGTGTGAAAGAAAAAGGCGGGAACAAAGTGAAAGAAGAGGAAAAAAGAGAAAGTGGAAAAAAGGATAATGAAAATAAGGCGACGAACCAAAGCCGAAGAAAACAAAGAAAAAAGAATAATCAATTTGATTGAGAAAATCTAGGAAGAGAGGAAGAAAACGATGAAGAACAACTGAAAACAAGAAGAAATTTAGGAAAGATGATATAAATAGAATGGACTGAAAATACGGAAGAAGAAGAAGAAGAAGAAGAAGAAGAAGAAGAAGAAGAAGAAGAAGAAGAAGAAGAAGAAGAAGAAGAAAGAGGTGGTGGTCAAGCTAAAAAGTAGCAATTTGTTAATGAAAATAATGCAATAGCGCTTTCTTATTGATACAGTTTTCAGAGGTATACATATATATCGAGTACAATACAGGATTCTAATTATTTTATTAATAAAAAATGAAAAGCCTGTATTGTACTCTATTGCTGTACTCTGTTATTCAAGTTATAATTTAAAACTTCTGCTAATAAGATAACAACGAAGATGTGTTTTTAAACAAAGATCTTGGTAATATCATGAACGGAGCGTATAAGCAACGATAAACCTTTAAGGGAAATATAAACCAAAAATAATTGAAATCAGAGACACATAAAATTTCTAGGAAAGAATGCTTGGAGAATCTGACACTCACAGGATATACTGAAGGCAAGAGGAACATGGACAGAGCGAGTAACTTACCTAAGGTGTTTGTGTAAATGGATGGCAGAAAAAGAAACAATAACAGGGATACTAAAATACAAACACTGCAAGAGTTAGAAAGGGTAAGAAGTTGTGGAGAGCCATAGCTGAAGGGACACAGTACAGAGAAGAAGAAAAAGAAGAAAGTCAACGTATCACAGTTTATTTTAGGGGAGGTCAAGCTAAAAAGTAACAGCGTAAATCAATATTTGGTTGCATTGAATTTTTGCCACATTTCTAAGCTTATACTTATGCTGTCTACATTGACTATTTTCTAGTAATGTATTCAGATGATCGGTATCAACTTCAACTTTTCCTCCCAAATATGCAGAGTTTTCAAGAAAAAAATGTGACCCCTTCACTTATTCGCAGACCTTTCTCTAGAAACTTCACCACGATATTTTTTACATTTAAGTTGCATTTTCCCTTTCTTAAAACTTTAAAAATTATATGATAGGATAAAAAATATCTTGTGCAATCTTCTGTATAAGAATGAATAAACAAAAGATTACGGCAATTTATTTCTAAGAGCATACTAATTATAGATTTATTGGAATGTGTTGACTTAAATATCTGTCTATATCTCTGAGATGCGGTATTATAATTACTTGCATTATTTACATTATTCGGAATGTTATCCTCATCATCATTGCCATATTCACATGTCCTTGAAGATACATAGCCCAGTGGATAAAACGTTGGTTAGATCCAGTGACTTGACCCAAAAAGTTGTGAGTTCAATACCAGACCACAGCAGTGATGAACCAACACTTGGAGATTTGAGTTAAAGGGAAATAACTGAGACATCCGGAAGAGATATGGCACATGGAACTAGAACAATCTACCTCGGTGACGAAATAAAGGGTTCGATTCGAAATCACCTGAAGAAGGCCGGAGCCTACAACGGTCGAAACGTGTATATAGCAATGAAGATGAGGATAACAGTCCGTATAATGGGAGTTGACTTAACATTAAAACTCCCCAAATTCCATCTAAAGACTTGAGTTCTTATTTATTGGTGGATATCAAGATTGTTAATATTTTCTACCAATACCTGATCTGGCGGCAATCCTTTCTTTGAAATGGAATCTCCCAGAAAGGATATTTTACTACAGTTGTGTAAATATTTTTTATTGTTCCATTAGTTATTCTTATATTCCTCAATCCACTCAAGAAAAGTTCCATTTATTTTAATCTTTTTCATCAATACCGGCTATGTATATATGGTCTTGATATACGACGATATTTTTATATCATCTTCCAGGACTTCTTCAATGCCAGTTTTAAATATGGCGCTTCCCGCTTTTATTATCTATTGTATTCTGGTCCATCTTCGTAATCCTATCAGCGTATTTATCTTTGTTACATCTTTGAATTTTATCATCTATCGGTAATTCGGTGATACGATGTTTTTAAATCTATTTTAGTAAAAGCTTTAGTTCCTACGGTTGTATGAAATCTATGCAGGCATTTAAGTACTAACTGCAGTTACTCTAATATTCTGCAGCAAAGCTTTCGACATTCTTTGATCAATCTGAGTTCAATCAATTCGTTTTCAATAGGCAGTTGTTCTTTTCCGAGTTTTTTTAAAAATCCACAATGCATTTTTTTAGACGTTGTAGAAATTTATTATAAACTTTCGACATCTAAAAAATACAAGCCGGCATTGTGAATTTACCATCTTGTCGAATAAAAACGGATATTTTTCTTTCAGCAACGGCAAACATCTTTTAGGTCGCATATTCCTTTTGTATTATTTCGTTTATTTACTCGAAAGTCAAACCTTTCAACTGCATTGGATAAGCCATTTGTGAAACCTTCTTTTAGGTCGCATATTCCTTTTGTATTATTTCGTTTATTTTCTCGAAAGTCAAACCTTTCAATTGCATTGGATAAGCCATTTGTGAAACTTTCATTGTTTCGTAACGATATGTGACCAAAAACAGATCCGTTATTTCATTAGCCCCTTTCCTACTTTTTGTCTCTTAGCTTCGTTTTCGTGTTAGACAAAGAACGTCTCATCCATACGTTCATAAACTCCATGTTATCGAGAGAAAAAAAAAAAGATCCTATCGGCGTCGCCATTTTTGCGATGTATTAAATTGTATCGGTGGCATTTACAAGTATCTTCATATGTCTTCTGATAGATATTTGCAGACCACTTTTATATTTTTCTTCTTCAGGTATGAAAATACGATAATACAAATATGTCAGTACGATTACAAATGATGCTAAAATAAATTCAGATTAGCTGTCTATCGCTTTAAGTGAAACTTAAATCAGTTGATTTTGATCGTTAATATATTTAAATGCAATGTCAATCGTTATTTTATTTTTTTAAATACCTGTTCTTTAATTCTTCCTCCCTTTAATATTTTTCTCATATTCTTAATGTTTTTGCAGCCTTACTTGCAATGAAATGCTAATCCCCCACCCAAATACCTGTGGAACGGACGCACGTATATGTCAGAGGAAATATGTCGTGAGGCAGTAAATTGTGTTAACACCATATATTATAGTTTAAAATTTTTTGATCCACGAAATAAAATCCACTGGAACGAGATTTTCCCAAATCTTAGGACTTTGTGAGGTTAAATTAAAAAAAAACTGTTTCAACCAATGCCAATAGACAGAGGATCATAATCTTTCGACACATTTATTCGTGATCATAATCTTCACAATAACCAGCAAGCCCCCCCAAGAAAAAGCGTTTCAGGGTGGACAGCAGACTCTGGCTTGTATGTAAAGTAATCTTAAGAGTATGGTATCACAGAGAAGCTGATATGTAATGTTGTTCCAAGAAATGATGACAAGGAAATTGACGTCCAAAAATGATTGTTAAAATCATCTGCCGGGGGGGGGATTGTCCCAGAGTTTAAATTTGTCAAACAAATATTGAATATTTAACACCTTTTCTTTACATTATTTACATTATTCGGACTATTGTTCTCATCTTTGTTGCCATATTGCTTCGACGATTCACGACAACTGATTGGGGGGGGGGCATTACTGAGACAGACACACTCAAACATTTGCAGCAAATTGGAAAATACAGAAAATGGACGCACAGCACTGATTTTTTAAAAAAATTTTATATTATTTTATTCTTGTTCTGCACTGATTTTTTTTGTGCACCAGAAACAAACTCTCTGAAGCAAATACCAGTTCATTTTAAAGGTAAAATTACGATCATTATTTGGACTATTGTACTTTGTCCCTGGTATGGGATATATTAATAAATATGCATAATAGCCCACATCGAAAGTATGACAGGTACCTGATGACAGTCGTACTGTTGGCGTGGGGTATTATACGTAATAGCTCTGTCATTTAGTACCTGACTATATTTCTGAGATGATGTATTATGTACACTATTTACATTATTCGGACTATTGTCCTCATCTTTGTCACCATATTTATTACAACGTTTCGGCCGTTGTACGCTCCGGCCTTCTTCAGGTAGTTGGAATGTCGAACTGAACCCTTTATTTCGTTCACTGGAGTAGACTGTTCTAGTTCCACTAATGGAATGTCAGTTATCAGTTATCTACTCTTAGCCGAGTATTGAACTCACGCCTTTATCCACTGTGCCATGTGTCCTAGACATCTGTGTATGAATTTCTGGGTATTATAAACCTAATGTCTTCAGCAACCATTTTTTTACCAGTGCTCATACTGCAATTTTTGCTGTTACCATACATGTATTTACCAGAGTTCATATTGCAATTTTTGTTGTTATTATCGATTTTCTCTGGCACTCCTTATTACTGGTTCCCATATTGTATACATTTCTATGCTTGGTCGGCTCAGGAGATTTTTGTAGCCTAGCATATGACGACAAAGATGAGGACAATAGTCCGAATAATGTAAATAATGTACATAATACCTCATCTCAGAAATATAGACAGGCACCTTTTCTTTGTATCCAATAAATTTACATTTTAAAAGTCTACGAACCATAAATCCATCTGAATTCACTTGTTTGATCTATTTATACTACTTTTTTTAATTAGAACTATAATACTGCATTTTTATTTTAATTTTAATAATTAATACCGAATTTTATGATAGCCATTAATGATTTAATCTTTCAGTTTACCTACTCATCTCACAATGATATATTCCACACTTCCATTCAAACGATTCTTTTTGTGAATGACACGAATCAACTGAAAGAAGAGACGAACCCAAACTCATTGCTGCTGTTAATTTTGCTTATCTCACAAGGTTTGATTTAAGAACAAACAAATTTACGAATACAAGAATAGATGAATATAGAAATAAACGAATTTAAGAATAGACGAATATATGAAAAGACGAAATTCAGTATATGCTAAATTATAAACAGACGAATTCAGAAATAAACCAATTTACTTATATTTTTGAAATAGATGAATTTACAAATAGGTGAATTTTGAACATTCGAATTTAAGAATAGATTGATTTAGGAATAAACGAATTTACGAACAGACGACTTTATGGATAAATGAAATTGAGAATACACGAATGTAGGGATAGATGAATTTATTAAGAGACAAATTTAAGAATATGCTAATTTACGAAATAACGATAAATTTAAGGGCCGACAAACTTGAGAGT